ACCTTCCTTCCGAGGAGTGGCTGGTGGATTTGAACCGCCAGCCTTCTGGTGAGCAGTCAAGTGCCTTAGGCACTATGCTACCAGAGCTCCTTATACCCTACATAGAAGAGCATAATCATAGTTCTAAGTACAAAGAAAAATTTTTGTTGTTGTTAGGGACCATTAAGCCCATTCTGACTCATAACAACCCTGTGTACAGCAGAACAAAACACTGCCTCGTCCTGCACCATCCTCCCAACTGTTGCTATGCTTGAGCCCATTGTTGTGGTCACTGTAGTTACTTCCTTCTAGTTGAGGGTCTTCCTCTTTTGTGATGACCCTCTACCAAGCATGATGTCCTTTTCCAGGGACTGGTCCTTTCTGATAAGGTGTACAAAGTATGTGAGATGAAGTTTTGCCATCCCACTTCTAAGAAGCATTCTGGCTCTACTTCTTCCTGGACAGATTTGTTCATTCTTCTGGCAGTCCATGGTTTGTTAAATATTCTTGCCAGCACCACAATTCAAATGCATCAATTTTTCTTTGATCTTTGTTATTTATCATTCAGCTTTCGCATGCTTATGAGGCGATTGAAAAGATCATGGCCTAGGTCAGGAGCACCTTAGTATTCAAAGTGACATCTTTGCTTTTGAACACTGTAAAGAGATCTTGTGCACCAGACTTGCCCAATGAAATTCATCATTTGGTTTCTTGACTGTTGCTTCTGTGGGTCTTGACTGTGGATCCAAGTCAAATGAAATCCTTGACAACTTCAATCTTTTCTCCATTTATCATGAAGTTACTTGGTCTAGTTTTGGGGATTTTTGTTTTCTTTATTTTGAGGTATAATCCATACAAAAGCCAGTAGTCTTTGGTAGTCTTTGATATTCATCAATAAGTGCTTCAAGTCATCTTTCCTTTCAGCAAGAAAGGTTGTGTCATCTGCATATTGCAGGTTGTTGATGAGTTTTCCTCCAATCCAGATGCAATATTCTTCATATAGTCTAGCTTTTTGGATTATTTGCTCAGCATATAGATTGAATAAGTGTGATGAAAGGGCACAACACTGACGTTTACTCCTTCCTGATTTTAAACCACTCAGTGATTTGGTCACAGGCAGTGATAACATAGTTTTATAATTATATATAAAAAATTTAAAACCCATTGTCTTTTACACATATGGAGGCAATCTGGTATACTGGTTATCATTTTAGCTCTGGCTTTAAATCCTGGCCCTGCCATTTCCTTTCTGTGTTAACTTGGTCAAGTTCTAAATCCCCTGTGTCTTTAATTCCTCACTTTTAAATTGTCTCAGAATAACATTCCCTTAAATACCACTGTGATTTGCAAAGAGGCCAAGGACTTCTGCCTGGGCACATGAAAGTAAAACAATGAAGAAAAAAAAACATGCTGTTTAAAGCCAGGACTGGTTTTAAGAAGAGGCAGTGGTGGTTTCATGCTAGAATTCTTAGAGAAGACTGAGGTTTGATTGCCAACCAGTACACCTCATGCAGCCACTTGCCATCTGTCAGTGGAGGTTTGTGTGTGCCATGGTGCTGAAGAGGTTTCATTGGCACTCCCAGACTAAGACAGACTAGAAGAAGGGCCAGGAGATCTAGTTCCAAGAGTTAGTCAGTGAAACCCTATGGATCACAACGGTCCAATCCCATCATACATGTGGTCTCTGGGGGTCAACATCTGACTTGACAGCAGCTAACAACAACAATTGCTTCTTAAAATGTGCAATTTATATAAAACTTGCAGAAAAATCTGCCTTGATAAACTTACTTTGAAGTTAATTACATAACATTTCTGAAAAATTGTTACCCACAAGTTACATTTTTCCCCCCAGTATCAAGAGATGTGGCTTATTTTTGGAAGTGGATGCTGGTTAACATTTGTATACACTGTGTCTTCTGTATGTATCTATGGCAGTTTGTATTCTTCAATAAACCTTCATCTTTGAGAGCTTTTTTTTAGCAATAGCAGCTTTGCTAACACAGTACTTTTTAGGAGTAAGGCCCCAAATTTCCAGGCTATAATTAAGGAGCCGCACTGCTGTTTTTCCTTCCCGTAGCCAATGTATGCTCTGTTATTTCTTCTATTTATAAAACCTCTGGTTCTGCTTCCAGAAAGTCAAAGTTCTTTACTGGATTAAAAGTTAAGCTGTGACATTCCCTGAAATAATGATTGGATTGAAGTTTCCTTGGATTTGTACAAATCCCAATCCCCTGTTTCTGTACTTTGCTTTCTGTCTTCAGGTGCGTGGAATGCTCTTCTACCGTCTGCCTGTCTACAGTCTGATGTGGAGCATGGCAGCCATGGTGCTGTGCAGGGCCCAAGGTAAAGATGCTTGAATCCCCTGCTCAGAGTCCAGAAAGCACCGGTCCTGCAGTGGAGACCTTTGACCACAGTGGTTTGCACTGTGCTGGTTTCATTTATTATTTAAACATTATTAAACATTGCCAACATTGTCTTGAAAGAGTGGGATCTTTTCTTTCTGCTTTCCACATTTTTATTTCAAAGAACACTTTGCTATTTAGAAGCTCTTTCTATAGAATGAATCAGACTTAAATGTATATGTATAGATACAGTATATATATATATATATATATATATATATATATATATATATCGGACATATATATATATATACTGTATAAATTAAACTCCTTTATTTTTCACCTATTAAATTGAATAACTTTTAAAAGTGACAATATCTTGTGTTTGTTTTGTAATGGGGTGCTCAGTGAAGTATGAGTGAATACAAACTTTTTAGAAAGTAAGTTGATAGTAAGCCTTAAAATTGAACATGCTCCTAGTTACAGAAAATTTTGAAAAATATAGAGATATAGCTGTTATGTAGGTTTACTTCTCTCTTGTGTGGAAAATTTGCCTGTGCCATCTACTTGTCCGCTGAATTTCCTAGTTGTGCCAGACCTCCCTCCTCCATTCCCCTGGAGGTCACCCCTTACTTTGCTGCTGGGTTTCCATGGGGGCCAGTCATACTGGTGAAGGAAGGCAGGTTTTACACCCATCGTCTACAACCCTGTTCTGCAGTACCTACCACAGGATTTACAGATAGGCTGGGAACATCTAAATGCAATTTCATAGAAGCAGCAAAAAATCATAAAGCTTCCACTAAATGATTTCTTCCAAAGCCAAAGAAAAAATCATTCAAGAGATTAACCCATAACTTTAATCCCTTTCTCATGCTCCGTTCTAAAAGCATTAATTTCTTCAAGCCTCTGCTCTACAAAATCCTGACAAACTTTCTGATACACTTTCTGGAAGCTCCAACTTTGACAGCAGATATTTCTGTGACACTCAAATTTCCAGTGTACATGTGTTGTTAAGACTACCTTTATATCCTTGATATTATTGAGGCAGGGGTTGCTTGTTTATTTTGCCTTTTTTAAAAAGAAAATTACACTTGTCAGTTTTTTCCATATTATTAGTTTTTAAAAATATCACACCAAAGTTTTGTGCTTTTGATCAAGGCTACATTTTGTGAATGACTTCATTAATTTGTGTGTTTATTTGTGTTAATTCACTTGCATTTTGGGGCATTTGCATGTACACATGATTAATTTTCAACTTCTCATAGTTCTTACTAAATATAGTTGTGGTGAACCATTTCCCTCTGAGAACTGCTTTATGTATTTCCACAGTTTTTAATATATTATGCTGTCATTGTCATTAGCTTTGAGAATTTATAATTTCCACTATGATTTTGATTTAACCAAAGAGTTAAAAGAGGTATGTAAATTTCTATTCTGCTACACTACTATTAATTATTGTACAAAGAAGTTTGAACCTTCATTTCTCTAGCAACATCAGAAATATAGATACATGTACTTTCTTCTGTGTATCTTCTATTTTAAATAAACATTTATTTCAAGTTTTAAAATATAAATACTTTTCTTCACAGGGCAAGTGGAGACCCATGATGAAATAGAGCTTCTGCACACACATGCTTCCCTAAGATGTTCTCTGCAAACTTACCAGGAAGTCTTGATAGTGACATGGCAGAAAATAAAGGCTACAAACCCAGAAAATATGGTCACATTCAGCAAGAAAAATGGGGTTGTGGTTCAGCCTGGCTATAAGGACAGGGTAAACATCACGTATCTCGGACTCAATGACTCCACTATAACCTTCTGGAATACTACCCTGGAGGATGAGGGGTGTTACATGTGCCTCTTCAATACCTTTGGTTCTGGGAAGATCTCAGGAAAAGCCTGCCTCACCCTCTATGGTGAGCATCTTTGAGAATATGTTGTCTCTGGCTAGAAATATTTTTTCAAGAATGTTTGGAACACAGTTGCTGTGTTAGTGTTTCTAGGTCCTAACCACAGAAAGGTTAACCTCTTGTGTCTACTGTAATGTGGTTATGGTTATTGGAGAGTCCATGGACTATGTTGAGATTTTTTCCTTGAGCTATCTTTGCTCTGAGGAGTCCCTGGGTAGAATAAGCAGTTGAGCACTGGACTGCTGCCCAAAAGGTTGGCAGTTTAAACCCACTCAGAGGCTCCTCAGAAGAAAGACCTGGTGGCATGCTTCTGAAAGTCCACAGCCATTGAAAACTCAGAGCAGTTCTACTCTGCATACGTGGGGTCACTATGAGTCAGAACTGACTCAATGACAACTAACAACAAGAACAACAGCGATCTTTGGGAGATCCTGCTATCAGCAAGAGTGAGTTGAAGATGATAGTGAGCACGATAAGCTCTCAGTAAACAGCATTGTGGTTCAGACCTGGCTTGGCCACTAACAATCATGTGAACCTAGAAGGGTCATGGCCCCTGGCTGCATCGTTCTTTATCTGCCCAATTAGTGTGCAATAAATAATTTCCAAGGGTCTGTTAAAGATTTACTAGTATTTTAAATCAAAGGATAGAACAAGATTGGGCTAACTCAGAGCTGGTGTTGGTGGAGGCTTTTCCTTGTGTTTTAGAGTAACTGTCTCAGGATTAGTAAGGAAACATGCAGAAGCTCATCATACCTGACATGACACCAATTGGGAATGAAATCAAATAATAAGCATTCTTTTAAAATCTGGGAGTAACTTTAACGCATGGAACACAAGGAGAAAGACAAGCTTAGAGAGGTGTTAGGAATGGTGAAGTGAGAGTTTGAACACGCCAAGATTCCAAAACCCAAAACAAAACTCCCTGCTGTTGAGTCAGATCCGACTCATAGTGACCCCTCCTTGGGTTTCTGAGGCTTTGTCATTTCGGAAGTAGATTGTTCAGTCTTCCTTCCAAGGAGTGGCTGGTGGGTTTGAACTGCCAGCCTTTAGGTTAGCAGTCAAATGCCTTAGGCACTATGCCACCAGAGCGCCTACATCAAGATTGGTCATTGGTAAGAATGTAAGGCAGGTATGATAACACCAAATACAAGCTTCTTTCACTTATTTGGCCTATAATGAGTCCTCTATGCAGGATCGTACATCTAGCTTTCTTCTTGACTTTCATTCATTCATTCTAGTCTTCTCCTTCCCTCTCTTCCTTCCTTCTTCCCTTCCTTCTTTTCTTTCTATCTAATTTTTCTCCTTTCCTTTCTCATGTCATATTTTTTGCATTTATGTTCCTTTCTTTCTTTCCTCTTTTTTCCTCATCTTTCTCTTATTTTTACTCCTTCTCTCACAAGTTTCTTATTTTTAACCCCAAATCTGGAGTCCTCTGAATCTTCTAGCTGATAATCCTGTTGTTATCCTTTGTAGTAATAATTTCCAGCCACAACTTGTAGTTTTCAGCTAAGCCATTCTTTGCAACACCGAAGGATGTGACACCCAGTCAGGTCATATCAGCCATACTCTTCTTCCTTTGTTTCTATCCCTCTTCCTCTAGTACACATTGATATTAATGATTTAGATACTCTTTGCTCAGAATCACAGTCTTATAGCCCCATTTGTTCCCCTACAGCACCCCCCTTGAATATATAAGCATAGATCATGTTTTTGTTTAATAAGACTCTAATTATCTTGTGGGCCCCAAAGCCAACCACAGAAGGGCAAGTCTGCATTTACTCAGCAGAGAAACTGTAGGTTCCAACAAAAATGAACTCTTAGTCTCTTTTAAAAGAGAACAGACAACAAATAACACCTTTTTCCCATAAGGTAGTTATTTAGCTTTGCTCCAAGTTTCTTCCACTGTGTTTTATATGATTTTCCAAATGGATTTTCCATGTTTCCACCATGCATTTCATTCACTGGTCTATCTTCAAGCAGAGAGCAGCTATCTTTAAGTAGCAATCCCTCTATGAGCTCTCTGTCCTGGTGCTTCTAAGAGGTGTGGGCTATATGGATGGAGGTGCTGGTTAGGGGTTATTGTTAAGCTATTTGAGTAAGCACAGACCATGTTTTGTATAAGAGCAATATAAGTCAGAGTTGCTGCATTGACCATGATAAAAAAGCAGAATAATTAAACTCTGGACTGCTTGGGAGAAAATGTTGTCTAATTTCTCAATATCCTCTTTCAATCCAACTAATTCTCCTAGGAACACATGTTGCAGGAGATCTGTTTCATCACAGGCTTGTATTAGGCTAGAGTCCATCCTGCAGATCAGAGATTTAGACAGAGAAAGAACTAGAAAGGTCCCAGTTTGGATGGAACATGCCACATTATCTTTCAAGCCAACACTGATCTTTTGTACATTTCTGAAGAGAGTGAAAGACCTGACCAGGTGTGTAACTGATGGCAGACCATTATTTTTTTGTCCCAGTACAGCCCACAGTATCCCTTCACTATAAATTCTCTGAAGACCACTTAAATATCACCTGTTCTGCTACTGCCCGCCCTGCCCCCATAATCTCCTGGAAGGTGACTGGGTCAGGGATTGAGAATAGCACTGAGAGTCTATCTCACCCCAATGGGACGACCTCTGTCACCAGCGTCCTGCAGGTCAAAGATCCTGAGAGTCAGGTGGGAAAGGAAGTGATCTGCAAGGTGCTGCATCTGGGGACTGTGACTGACTTCAGGCAAACTGTGAGCAAAGGTAAGAGAAGCTGAGTAAAAACAGCTGTGATCATATCTGTGTACACACACCTGGAAGGTGGTGTCTTCCGCAGAACCATTTCTCCTCTTAACAAGGGAGTTACATGGGCAGGCAGTGGGGAGGGAAAGAAGAGGGTAGGAAGGGAAAGGAAAATAGAGCTGTGAAAGCAAATGAATCAAATTTTCAGAAATTGTGTACACGTACTAAAGGCTTTTGCTAAGATTCATTCATTCATTTATTCTTGCATGTCAACAGAATTTACTGATAAACGTGAAGATTATCAGTAAAATAATAAAATGAACAGTGGCTTTTCAGATGTTGTAGAGCTAATAGCAACCATTTTCTTTCCCATGTACTTTGAAGTGCTAACTCTGGATGGAGCACTCATTAACAAATCTCCTAAAAAAAATCTTGCTTTTTTTTTTTTTGACGAGTAGAGGGGGTGACATTTTGAATAGCAAAACCTGAGGAAAGCTTCATTGGCTTATTGGATGCAGTATTTCTAAGGAGTACCTCCTATTGGCATTTCTAGTGTCCCTGAACAAAAACTAGACAAATCAGAAAGTGGATATTTAGGTAAATTTGGTGAAAAAAGTTTGCACTGTCTGTTGCATTTGGACATTTGTATAGAGATCCTTGGGGGTAGTGGTGGTGCAGCTGTAGAATTCTTCCCTTCCATGTAGGGTCCAATTCCCAGCTAATGCACCTCAAGTGCAGCCACCATCCATCTCTCAGTGGGCACTTATGGGTTATTATGATGCTGAACAGGTTTCTGCAAAGCTTCCAGACTAAGACAGACTAGGAAGAAAGAAATATTTCTTGACTATTGAAAAAAAAATTAATAACAGGGTGCTAAATGAGAAGAAGGGAGCTCTGGTGGCATAGTGCCTAAGGCATTTGATTGCTAACCAGAAGGCTGGAGGTTCAAACCCACCAGCACTCCTCAGAAGGAAGGTTGGACAATCTACTTCCATAGTGATACCGCCTCAGAAACCCAAGGAGGAGTCACTGTGAGTTGGATCCAACTCAGTGGCAGTGAGGTGAAGGAGATGAGAAAAAATGAAATAAAAACATGGATGTATTATTTCTGAGTATTGAGATCATAAGATTCATGATTTTATATTTTATACTTTTCTGGATACTCCAAATTTTCCTCAATAAACCTATATTACTTTAATGGAGTCTAAGGAAGTAAATATGTGCTTGGCAGGCAAACAGACCTCTGACCAAGCCTGGGTTCCACTACTTACTACTGAATGACTTTCAGCTTACTTAACTTCTCTGAGCCTCAGTTCATTCATCTGTTAAATAAGGATAATGATAATAATACCTAACTTGGGATATTTTGTGGATTAAATTAGATAACATATGCAAAGCTCTTATTATATTGTGATCATATAAAGCATGCTAACTATTATTATTCAAATTTTATTAAGATAAAATAAAGTCGTGAATAGACACCACAAAACCTATGTGCTTAAGGAAATTTCAACTCTAATAAAAACTCATCACAACAGTGGCTTTATGACTTTTTGCCTCTTGTGACAAGCCAGCTGGTGACTTTGTTTTCCTTTTTCTCTCTTCAATATCCATAGGCTTCTGGTTTTCAGTTCCTCTGTTATTAAGCATTGTTTCCCTGGTAATTCTTCTGATCTTAATCTCCATCTTATTATACTGGAAACGTCACCGGAATCAAGATTGAGGTGAGTCATCACAGTTATACAAAGAAGGAAACAAGTTACATGATTTTATAAGTCAATTAGAGGTCATCGGAAGATATTAATAAGGGGCTGACAATGGTATGCTTTGTTTGTTGTTTCCAAAATACATACATGACACTGTAGGGTCATTTTCTTGAAACTGGACATTTCTGCTTTTCATTTGCCAAAATAGTTTCAAGGCAAAGTATTTTGTTAATTGAGAGTAATAGTTGATGAGAGAAAATGAAGAAAGTATTTATCCCATCAAAATGGAATCATCTGACGGCAGAACTCAGTGAAAAGAGTCTTAGCACCCATGCATAGTGCTTCCTACCTGCTAAGGAGGACAAGCTTTTCTCTTTTTGTAACATTCCACAGGCCAGGTACCCATCTAAGAGATTGCAGAATTGTCCAATATTATCACTCATTAAATAACACCTCCTAACTTCCTATACTATATTCCCACTATGTCTCAAACCCCAAAGACAACATATGGATGACTGATTCCACCCACTCAATAACTTATGCCATATCGTTCTGCCCTTCAAGACTATACATTTTTCTCTATCCCTTACACATCAATCACAGTGTCTTATAATAGTAGTTACTCAATAAATATTCATTAAAAAAGTGAATGCATGAAGAAATTAATAAATAGATGAATGGATAGATTTCTCCATGTGATTTTTTGTTGTTGTTGATTCTGTTTCTCCTGTTGTCAATTCAGCACCTCAGAAATGCCAATGGGTGTAAAATATTCTGAGACAATATAAAACAACATACACTATAAAACAAAGAGAGTGAGAGCTATGGATGGAGAGATAATTAAATTTCACTGGTTCCTGAAGACAGTGCATAATTTTTTAAAGTGAATGAAATCTACCATTTATGTGAGTGCAATTGAAATTCCCCAGCTTAAATAATGAAATACAAGTTTCCTCCATCTCAGGTGACTGAAAAATAGGTGTCAATGAAGTGAAAAATGTTTGCTGAGTATTATTTTAGATTTTTATTTAAAATTTCACTCAAATGCTACTTCCTCCTCCCTTTATTTTATGTATCATAGACTAGTCCCATCATGTTATAGGTTTTATGAACACTTGTGATACATAGGCCTTTTATAAACACCAGATTGATGCCTGGAAAACCAGTAACAAAATCTTCAATGTCAGTCACCCTTTTGCAAAGGTAGATGAGGTTATTTCTTCTGCTAGATAGGGGAGCACAGGTCAAATACTATTTTTGCACATAACCATTGTTGTTAGGTGCCAATGAGTTGGTTCCAACTCACAGTGACCCAATGTACAACAGAACAGTGGAACAGTGAGCCATCCCCTCAATCATAGATACATTTGAGCCCATTGTTGCAGTCACTGTGTCAGTCCATCTCATTGAGGGTCTTCCTTTTTTTTTTGCTGATCCTCTACTTTACCAAGCGTGATGTCCTTGCCCAGGCACTGACCCCTCCTATGAAATGAAATGTCACCATCCTCACTTTTAAGGAGTTAAGCTGTACTTCCAAAACAAATGTATTTGTTCTTCTGGCAGTCCATGGTTTACTCAGTATTCTTCACCAACACCGTAATTCAAATGCACCAATTTTTCTGTTTTCCTTATTCATTGTCCAGCTTTCCTGTGTATATGAGGTGATTGCAAATGCCATGGCTTAGGTCAGGCACATCTTAGTCTTCACAGTGACATCTTTGCTTTTGAAAGAGATTGTTTGCAACAGGTTTGCCCAGTGCAATATATTATTTGATTTCTTAACTGCTCCTTCCATGGGTGTTGTTTGTAGATCCAAGTAAAAAGAAATCCTTGACAACTTCACTATTTTCTCTGTTTAACATGATGTTGCTTATCGGTCCAGTTGTGAGGATTTTGTTTATGTTGAGGTATAATCCATACTGAAGGGTATAGTCTTTGATCTTCATTAGAATGTGCTTTAAACCTCTTCACATTCAGCAAGCTGGGTAGTGTCATCTGCTTGTTGTTGTTGTTGTTATGTGCCGTCGAGTCAAACCCGACTCATAGCGACCCCTCCTTGGGTTTCCGAAGCAGTATCACTATGGAAGTAGGATTGCCCAACCTTCCTTCCAAGGAGTGGCTGGTGGGTTTGAACCGCCAGCCGTCTGGTTAGCAGGCAAGTGTCTTAGCCACTATGCTATGCCAGAGCTCCCGTGTCATCTGCTTATCACAGGTTAATGAGTCTTCCTCCAATTCTGATGCTGCATTCTTCTTCATATAATCCAGCGCTTAGATTATTTGCTCAATGTACAGATTAAAGAAGTATGATAAAAGGATACAACACAGATACACACCTTTCCTGATTTGAAATCATGCAGAATACCTCTTGGTCTATGTATAGGCTCCACTTGAGCACAATTACGTGTCTGGAATTCCCATTCTTCACAGTGTTATCCATAATTTGTTACAATCCACACAATATAATGCCTTTGCATAGTCAATAAAGCACAGGTACACATATTTTTAGTATTCTCTGCTTTCATCTGAATCTGGCTTGAATTTCTGGTAGTTCTCTTTCAATATACTATTGCAACATGCAAGATCAAGTGTCACAGTCTCTTCTGACATAAGCTTATGGAACTCATATGTACTCCAGAGGCAGAATTTTATCCAGACATTTCAGTTTTCCTATTAAGGAACTGAAGCCCAAAGAGAGAAGGTTACTTCTCCAAGGTCACACAGCCAGTTAATAATAGCAGGTCTAGGACTAGAACACTGGTCTCCTCATCTGTGCCAGAATGTTCTTTTATTCATTACTGACACCCTCCAGTACTGACTTGAAAGGAGTTATTTAGCTCTATTTATTTTAGTCTGTTTGCTGTGACTAATCTATTCTTTGGAAAAGTCCAAGTAGGCAAGTATAGTGTTTAAATTTATTTTTTTAAAAGTCCCTCTTAGACAACAGTCTTCTAATAAAATCTATTAAATTTCAAGGTAAATTCTACTAAAAAGGGGAATTGCAAAGTATTGACCTTTGTTCATTAGCAAGTCTTGAGTTTTCTGAATACAATTGTTAAATGTATCATCTGGTTCTTGAGGCAAAAAAAGAAAGAAAGAAAAGCCAGTTTACCTTTGTACTCAACTTTTCTCTTATGTATGAAATAAACACCCCAACCTATGTTAAGTTTTGTATGCACAGGAGTGGCATTTACTGGTTATGTCTTCATGGCAAATGGCCAGTTCAGTTAATTTCATTGATTGTTCAGTGGCTTATTTTGAGTGAGTGGATTTTTCGATGAGTTTCAAAAAATGTTAACAGCCAGATACTCTGGCTCTGCATAGTGACAGCTAGTGAAATAAAGCATCAGTTATGGTGGAGATTTAAAAACTCAAGCCTGAGAAAAATATTGGTTCAGTAAGACCAAAATTTAAGATATACAGGGAGTTGGGAAAAAGAGAAGAAAATCATAGAAGACAGTGGTACTTTTTATTTATTCAAGTAATAAATTGTCAATTTTTAAGTAAGGGAACTAGTTCTACTATAATTCCCTTCCATCTTTCCTTACCCTTAGGACTTTTGTTTCCTTTATCTTCTTAATTCAGTCATCTCCTGGAAATAGAACACCTTTGCAAGGGCAAGGGAACATGCAGTCAAAGGTGAAACCAAGGTTCTGGCCTGAAAAATAATGAACTTAACTAAGAAATAGGGAAGTAAGGGAGAAGGGGGTACTGAGTGGCTAATGCCTATGTGTATGTGTTCAGAGTTCATAGGAAGGAAAAGAAGGGGAATGAATTAGTTCTTGGATTTACTGAGTGTGAGTAGACAGACACTCATGTCTGTGGACCTGCCAGTAGCCAGTAAGAAAAATATGGTAAGATAAGTCTGGAATGTAGGTCAACTCTTTGATGGATAAAATACAAAGAAAAATTTAAAAAAAAGCTTGTTTTATATCATAACTTATTCATAAAATGACTTAAAAGCATTAGCAAATTTTACTTTTCTTTACAAAAAGGTATCAGTAAACAGTTGCCGTCAGGTAGATTCTGACTCATGGAGACCCCTATGCATAGAGTAGAACTGTGCTCCAAAGGGCTTTCAATGGCTGTGGCCTGTCAGGAGTAGTTGCTCTGGCCTTTCTTCCCAGGTGCCTCTGGGTAGATTCTCACTGCAAAGCTTTAAGTTAGCTCCAAGCACTTAACCATTTGTGACACTCAGTGATTCCTATATAGAGGGGTTGTTGTTTTTGTTGTTAGGTGCCATCAAGTCAATTAAGACTCATAGTGATCCTTTGTACAACAGAATGAAACACTGCCTAGTCCTGCACAATCCTCACAATCCTTCCTATGCTTGAGCCCATCGTTGTAGCCACTGTGTCAGTCAGTCTCATTGAGGGTCTTCTCCTTTTTCTCTGACCCTCAACTTGATATCCATCTCCAGGGATTGGTCCCTTCTGACCCATGACCAAAGAAGGTGAGACAAAGTCTGACCATTCTCACTTTGAAGGAGCATTCTGTCTGCACTTCTTCCAGGATAGATTTTTTTTTTTTTGTCAATCTTTTCTAGTCCATGGTATTTTCAGTGTTCTTCACCAACATCACAATTCAAAGGCATCAATTCTTCTTTGGTCTTTGCTATTCATTATCCAGCTTTCACATGATAAAGGTGACTGAAAATGCCATGGCCTGGATTGTTGTTATGTGCCATCAAGTTGGACTCAACTCATAGCAACCCCTCCTTAGGTTTCTGAGGCAATATCACTAGGGAAGTAGATTGCCCAACCTTCCTTCCGAGGAGTGGCTGGTGGGTTTGAACCACCAGCCTTCTGGTTAGCAGTCAAGTGCCTTAGGCACTACACTATCAGAGCTGGCCTGGATTAGGCACACCTTAATCTTCAAGGTGACATCATTGCTCTTCAACACTTTAAAGGGGTCTTTTGCAGCAGATTTGCCAGTGTAGTATGACTTCTGATCTCTTGACTACTGCTTCTGTAAGTGTTGATTGTGGATTCAAGTAAAATGAAAACTGTGGTGACTTGAA